CATTTTTTTCAACACCAATACCATTTTGATAACAGTAACCGACCCAAGACATTCCATTAGCATCACCCATGTCTGCGGACATTTGATAATGGATGAATGCTTTATGTTCATCTTTTTCAACTCCAATTCCATTTCGATAGCAATAACCAACCAAAGAAGTTCCTCCAGAATCACCCATTTCGGAAGATTTTTGATAGTAAGTAAATGCTTTAAATTCATCCTTTTCAACACCAATTCCATTTTGATAACAATAACCAACATCGTACATTCCATCAGTGTGCCCAATATCAGCAGATTTTTTATAATGAATAAATGCCATTTTCTCATCCTTTTCAACACCAATTCCATTTTTATAACAATAGGCAAGAGAAATCATTCCGTTAGAATTTCCCAAATCAGCAGATTTTTGATAGTAAACGAATGCCTTATGCTCATCCTTTTCGACACCAACACCATTTTGGTAACAATAACCAATATTATAGATTCCAAGTGGATGCCCCATTTCAGCAGATTTTTTATAACTAAGATATGCTTTATCTTCATCTTTTTCAACACCCAATCCATACTGATAGCAATCACCAAGTCGATTTATTCCGTAGGCATTTTTCATTTCAGCAGTTTTTTGATAATAGATAAATGCTTTTTGTTTGTCCATTTCAACACCAATTCCAACATCATAACAACCTCCAACATTACATATTCCAGTTGAACTTCCCATTTCAGCAGATTTTTTATAATAATTAAATGCTTTATGCTTATCTTTTTTAACCCATCTTCCAAGCTGATAACAATAGCCAAGAATGTTTTGGATGATATGATTTGTTTGATTATTCGAGCACCAACTAATTACATCTTCCGGTTTAAGCTGTTTGTTTTCCAAATGTCTCTCTATTATATTAAGGATTGTAGTGGCATAATTACCCTTTTCTTCTTCTTCCTTATGCAGATCACATAACTCTTCCATAGTTCTATTTAAAATGCCTTGCGGCGTATTATAATTACATATAAATAAATATTATAGATTAAGATACTGTTGAACCTATTAGTCATAAATAACTCCTTATTTAATAACTCACCATACTTTACAGAACATTTTTCAGATGAAATACTCGGAATTCCATCTTTATTTGACATTTTGATGTAAAAAAAACTGATTATTCATAAAACTTGTGCAAAAAAACGGTCAAACTCAGTAAATAGTAATAAACATGCGCCATTACTATGCATTGTAACGTAACTCATGTAATGTATTGGTAGCTGAACTTGCAAATATTCAATTCTATATATGGTAATGTAAAGCATACTAATTATTGTATCTTAGACTTACGTACGTACGTAGGTGCGCGAGTGCGTACGTAAGAATGTGCATACCATTTATAATTATGACAAGATAACTTGAATATTATAAAAGTTGCAAACCACAAAACTATAATCTGTGAAGTCGAAAACTTCCATATAGCTAACAATTGTTCTGCGGCTCGATTTTCTATACGTTAGCGTATATATTAAATTACAGTTT